TGACAAAATTGAAAATGTAACCTCCTGAATGCTAGTCTACTTCTGTTTTTTTTAAATATATATATTTGTTATGCACAAGATAGATTTTTTTGAAAATATGAAATTCTGTTATGTAGTTTTTAAAGTATGTTAAATTTTACATGATAGTAATAGTGTTGCCATCTTGTCCTTTTTGCACTTTTATTTTCCGTTTTTATTTTCTTGGTTTTTCAGTTAACCCTCCCTCCCCCTTTTGCATAACTATCATAATAAATTATTTAGGTCTACATGCTCACCTGTTGTAACAATAAATATATAAAAACAAATAAACATTGTCTGTGTCTGAAAATGTTGATCTCATTCTATACCTCTAGCCCACCAACCCTTCCAAATATTGGTATGGTATGATTAAAGTTGTTTTTACTTTCAGTTGTTCTGGTTCCCATGTAAGTTCTGGTTCTGCTCATTTCACTTCATCCAGTTCTCTCCAGGTTTCTCTGAATTTGTCTTTTCTCGTTTCTTAGTGTATTAGGGTGCAATAATAATCCATTATATTCACAAATTAAAACTTACTTAGCCTTTCCCTACTTGATCTGCACTGATTTTTATAATTCTTTTAAACAATAAAAAGGGCAGTAAAAAGTATATTCCTCTTTCATGGAATGAATTGTAATGAGTGGTTATTGATGGAGCTTTATACTTCAAGAGTTACTTTTTTTCAGGAGTCAGTTCGTTTCTATACTTGAACAGGGTTTCTCTCTTTAAGGCTCTTCCAGATAGTTATGAGCTGATCCATAATCCAAGTTATCTCCTTTCTTCCCCCTACTTTAAAAAGTATGTATTCAGCATGCCAATTTTGAGTCGTCATTTAAAACATCAAAATGAACATTTTAAAAAAGTAAAATAACATTTTAACCATAGAACTGGGACCAGACTGCATATTAATAGTCTTAGACTGGAAAGTTTGTGAAACATTACTTAAAAGACAGTGGACAGAGTGCTAATTTGAGAGTCACATCTTGAGAGGAGGATGGCAAATTATCCTTTATTAGGACCAACTTGAAAAATATCTGAGTAAATGTAAGTGTTTCAGTAATACTTAGAGCATCCAGTATAGAAGGAAAAAAAAATACACAATTTTATATAGGCTTGACAGAGGTAGATAATTACTGATTAAAATCTGTAGATTTTAGGATGTATACAAAAGTCAAGATGAGTCAAAGCAAGGTATCAGTTTTGGCATAATCTTGGAAATGTATTTTTTTTTTTAATATACTTTTTCACTCATTTGACCCTTTGAGCATAGTGTGACCTAAAGCCAAAGAATATGACTACTTAAAGGAAAGATTGCACATCACTTGAAGTTTTCTTAAAAGTAGGATAACTAGGTTTAAAATTAAGCTTAAAAATTATTTTGGAATTTTTCCATACTTTGTAACATTGAGATATAATCAAGGTTACTTAGTACCATTTCCATTTTTGATAAATTCCTAATAGATTTATGCTCTTTGCCAACTTTCATTCAGGTTGTGGCATGGAAAATAGATACTATTTGTGAACTTTAATGTGAGTTAAGTCAACGAGTATTTTATTTAAGTGTTTACTATATGTTAGGTATTGCAACGAGTACTGGTAATAAAAATAAATACAAATTGTCCTTTTCCTCTGGAGTTTGATTCTTCAAAGGAAGCTGAAGTAGCTTTGAAAATTGTAGACTGCTGACTTTATTTCACAGATAAGAAAATTCTAGAGCAGTTGATTGGCAGAGTTCTGATGGAAATGTTTATTACATATCCTTATGACATCCCACACTCATTTCTCTTTGTAGGACTTTAGAATATGTTAATCATCAGTAAGTGAGTATCTACTACATCAGACCCCGTGGCACCACTTAAACCACCAATTAAACGTTTACTGAAAAGTTTGAAAGATCTTTATTGTCATGCAATGGAAACATTTGTGGATTTGGAATTGGAAGACCCAGATTTGAACTACAGCTCTGTAACTTTAATACTTTTAACTTTTTTATAATTTCACCTGTTCCAAGTTCTCAGTTTCCATTCCTTATCTGAAAATGAGGGAGCTATAATAGCTGACCTCTGTGGTTATTTTTAGATCTAAATCCATGATGCTAGAATTTCCAAGAAGTCCTGTCCTTGCATGACTTATTTCTCATTATGTTATCCAAAGATTTAACTGGCCCTGTGCCCTTTGAAGACTGTATACTGAGATCTTCTTACCTTGTTTGATTTAATTCCAACAGAACCAGCTGGACTGTTTTGATAGCAAGTTTGTGATTTCTGTCAGTGCCACTTGTTAGAGAATACTAGGTGATTTCTCAGCCGCTAGCACACAGTCTTGTCACTCATCTTCAAACCTATTGCTAGGACTTCCAGATTATAAGAATGTGATCTGACTGCTTGGACCATTTCTGTCTTATCCAAGTAACTTCGTCTCCTGGGTTTCACTGTCCTTGTATGTAAAAATTAGGTGATTGAACTCTGCAGCCTCAGAGGCCCTTTCCATACATAGGTTTATGCTGATCTTCTAGTCTTCAGTCTTAACTAATCTCTTCAAGCAAGTTCACAGGTTGTCTTGCACCCTCCAGGTTAAAGTAAGTAAGAGGATGTTTGTAAATATCATGCCCTTATGCCTTTTTTAAAAATCAGGATTTCTTTTTAGTAGAGGTCCTTACGACCTTAGATTACTTCTTCAGTTCATCTGTTGTGTTTCTTCCTAAGAAAGTGTGAAATTCTTAATATAGGAGTAGCTGGTAAACACACACACACACATTAATAGTTTCTACCCTATCAAATTTATATCAGTACAGAGAAAATATGTAACGTACCTTCAGCTACACTACAAAAATCATTTAAAATGGATGTGCATTCTTGATTTGTTTTAACTTTGAAAATCTACTTTTAGAGTTTTCTTCAGTTTACTCATCTCTCCAGACTTAGTTCCTAAATTGGGCAGTTTGTGTGAATGTTCCCTGGGGTAGAGTGATTAATTCACTGTTCTTGCCTTAGGTCTGGGGTTTTCACTGGCCTAGATAACATGGGTGCTTGCCTGTAATCTAATTTCCAGGGTTTTTTTTGTTTATTTGTTTGTATTGTTTTGTTTTGCCACCTTTCTATAAAGTTTTGTACATAAACTACTTTTCTGTCTTGATTTGATCTGTTTGGGGCTTAAGAGTATTATAGTTGAGTTAAAGGGCATGCATGCATTATCCAGCATCTTTTTGTACGTAATTCCAAATTGCTTTCCAGAATGGTTGTACGTATTTACAAGTCCATCAAAATTGCAGCAGTGTGACTTTTTCCATAGCTCCTCCAACAAGTATAATTTTCTTTTTTCCATCGTTTTTGCTATTATTATGAGTGTGCAGTAGAATCTTGCAATTGCTTTAATTTGCATTTCTCTGTTTATTTGCAGCATTTTAAAATATGGCTATGAACTGAATTTCTCCCCTTGAGAACTGTCTTTTAATATCCATAGACCATTTATTGATTTGGAAATGGATCTTAAAAAAAAAAGTCCTTACGTCTCAAAAATGAGACCTTAATCAGAGAAACTTGCTGCAAAGATTTTTTTCCCCTCTTTTGTGCAAAATCCTTTAATTTTTTATAATTAACATTAGTCATTTTTTCTTGTTATCTTTTTGACTTCTTGTTTGTTCACAAACTTCTCGTATCCATAGATTTCATAGGTAATTTTTCTGTATTTCTCTAGTTTGTTTATGATGTGATCTTTTTTAATTTAACAGCTTATATTTGTATAAGGTGTGACATCTTAGGTCTAAATTTAATTTCTCCCATAATTTATTCAGTGTTAACTAAGTTTTCCCAGTAGTTTTTGTCAAATAGTGAGTGCTTAATCTAGTAGCTGGAATCTTTATTTACTGAATAAAATACGTATTCTGGAATCAGCATTCTTAGATAATTAAAAGTTGTTTCTTTTCTCTGGATCTACCAAGTAATTATTAGAGTTTTCTTCAATTTACTCATCTCTCCTGACTTAATTGGGGGCTTTGTGTGAATGTTCCCTGGGGTAGAGGGAGTAGCTCTCTGTTCTTCCCTTTGGTCACCTAGTGTTTCTCATCTTTATGTTGTATACCTAACATGTTCCACTGATTGGTTCTTGATCAGAACCAAATTGTTTTAGTAATTCTTTCTTGTATCATAGATAAAAGTAAAAATATAAACCCTTTTAAAATATCCAACCTTTTAAGTCCGCATTACCTCATTTCTCTGCCATCCAATGGCAACATTGTCCTCATTTTTCCTCATGCAAAACACTCCTGATTCATAGCATTTTCACTGATTGACCCTCATGTCTGGAACTCTCTTTCTCCTCATTTCTGCCTTCTTGCTTATCTGGCTTCTTTAATTCTTAGCTAAAATCTTACTTCTGGAAGAAGGCTTTTCCATTCCCCCTTAGTGTCTTCCCTTTGAGATTATTTCTGAAATATCCTAGATAAGTCTTGTTTGTACACGTTTGCTTTTTGTCTCCCACATTAGACTGTAAGATGCGCCTTGAGGGTAGGCGGTAGCTTTCTGCTTCTGTCTGTATTCCTGCCACATCCAGTACAGTGCTAGGTATATACATAGTATGTGTTTAATAAATGGAAGGTAGCTGTGTGGCACAATGTACAGAGAGCACTGATGTCAAATTTTGATGATCTTGAGGAAGCCACTTAACCCCTGCCTGTCTCAGTTTCCTTCTCTTTAAAATGATGATAATATCTTTTTCCACTGGGTTGCTGTATGATTAAGATGACATAATATTTGCAAAGTGCTTTGAAAACCTTAAAATGCTGCATAAGTGCTACTTATGATTAGGGAGAGGAGGAGGAGTAGTGATAATAATATGTGATGTATAATAACTAGACTATCATCTCAGCTTTGGAATGAAGTGATGAAAGCACTAGTCAAATTTCACTACTGACCAAGGGAAAGGAAATGTAAATATATTTAGTTTTGTTCCATGTTCCTGTTTGTTTTTCAGTTCCATCTTTTCATGGACTAAGTTTTTAAATAACACACTGGAAGAGTATTGCAAAATGTAAGACATTTCTCTTGAAGCCTTCACCTAATTCTTCCTGTGGAGCTATCCCCTGAGGGAATCTTCTTAGCCCAGTTCCTGGCATCTAATAGGTACTCAAGTGATTATTGATTGACTTTTTTACACTAGAGTCCAACCAAACTGACCTTTCTGTTTCTCATACAAGATGCTTTTCCATTCTTATGCCTTTGCCTTGGATGTTATTCATCATTGAAATGTGCTCCTTCCTCAGTTTCACATCCTAGAACCCCTTGTTTTCTTCAGTTCTCACATCAGGAACTTCTTTCTACATGAATCTCTTTCCCCTTCCTCTCCACGTATTGTGTCATTCCTCCCTGAATTACCTTAAATTTATTTTATATGTATTCTATATGTCCTTATATATGTACATGTTCTCTTTCCCATCTCCCTCAGAAAAATATTGGTTTTTTGAGAGCCCTATAGTTTCGTTTTGATATTTGTATGGTACATCATCTGACTCATTCTGAAGCATTTTTTTTCAATCATATCCCACTCTTGATAACCCCTTTTGGAGTCTTCTTGGCAAAGATACTGGAGTGGTTTGCCATTTCCTTCTCCAGCCCATTTTACAGATGAGGAAACTGAAGCAAACAAGATAAAATAATTTGCCCAGGATCACACAGATAGTAAGTGTCTGAGACCAGATTTTAAATCGGGTCCCGATTTCAAGTCTGGAACTCTATCTCCTGGGCAACCTTGCTGCCATAGACTGACTCATAATAGTTGCCTAATAAGTACATTTTGATTATTGATAAATACCCTACTATCATTTTGAAACCTCACTCTGGCCTGTCCTCCCTATGTATAGATCTTTTTTTTTAGTCAATTGGGGTTAAATGACCAGGGTCACAGCTAGTAAGTGTCAAGTGTTTAGTCTGAGGTCAGATTTGAATTCAGGTCCTCCTGACTTAAGGGCCGTTGCTCTATCCCCCCCCCCCCCCCGAATAATTTTTTAAAGATAAATGAAACAACAGAGATTTTCAAGTGACATTTAAAATGCATTTTATTTATAATACTAAGACTACATCATGAGAATCAAATGAAATAATGTAAACTTTCTAACTGTTGATACACACATTATATATATTTAGCTGAGGAAATGTGAAGAGCAAAAGTCAAGGATGTCAGAATCATATGACAGAAAATGTGCTGGTTAACGTGCTAGGGTAAGGGATGAAGGGTGGATATGATTGACTCTTGGGAGAAAAAGATTTTTTTTTTCCATTTTTTCTCAGTTACATATAAACAAGAATTTTAACAGTTTTATGTAAAACTTTAGTTCTAAATTCTTTCTTCTCTTCTTCCTCTCTTTGAGACGGGAGGCAATGATACATATTATACATGTACAGTCATACAAAATGTTTCCATATTAGCTGTGTTACAAAAGCAGACCAAACAAGAATAAAAGTTTTTTTTTAAAAAAGTGTTTCAATCTGCATTTGAACTCTTACCAGTTCTTTCTCTAGAGGTGAATAGCATCGTTTATCCTAAGTCCTTTGGAATTCTCTTGGATCATTTTATTGCTGAGAATAGCTAGGTCATTCACAGTTGATCATCATCCAGTATTGCTGTTACTGTGTACAGTGTTCTCCTAGTTTCATTCATTTCACTCTGCATCAGTTCATGTAAGTCTTTCTAGTTTTTTTTCTGAAAGCATCCTGCTTGTTATTTCTTGAATCAAAATACTATTCCATCATAATCATATGCCACAACTTGTTCAGCCACTCCCCCATTGATGGGCATTCTTTCAATTTCCAGTTCTTTGCCACAGAAAGAGCTGCTATAAATATTTTTTTTTTCATACGGGCCAGCAAAGGAAGAATTCTTTTAGCACATTCACACACTGTGGTGAACTTCTGTAGGAGAAATGGCAAGGGTAACAAATGACAGACAAGTATGAATAATTGCAGGCTGCATTATTTTGGGAAACTACCAAATCCATACTATTTCAGGTCCATTTAATTAATCAGGCCTTCCAGTGGTGATAGTACTTTTAGAATCTTCATGTTATTCTCAAGTTGGCTGTCTCCTGGATTAATGCTGAAGTAATAATACTCAATAACATGAAGAATTTCAAATACTCTGTTGCTTGATGGGAGGTTGTAGGTTAGTGACCTCTTTTTTTTCCCTTTTCTAGTCCCCTGTGGCAGAATTTCTCACATATAAGACCTTAGTGAATCCCTTTAGTCCCAAATTTTATCTTCTTTTCCCCAGATTATAAGTATTAAACTTCGTAAAATTCCATTACATGTCCAGTGCAAAATGGGTAATTTAATCGTGTCCCTGATACTTATGACCTGCATGACTCTGGGAGGTCACATAACCTTCATGGGACTTGATTTCTTTAGTTGTAAAACTTCATACCTGGAAAAATACTTATTAACTGAATTATTGTCCAAGTTAATCTAATTTATAACTTACCAATTTCAGTTTCACAAGAGAACTTTTCCAGTGAATATGCTATGTGATGGGATGTCATTAATATTAAGAGACTGATTCAACCAGTGATTCAACTTGAATTAACAAGAAAACTGCTAATGAGGATGTGTTGAACAATTTTGTGATCTCTTTTATTAATTTGTAATCAATATGGTTCACTAGAAAATTTATAGTTATGGATGTGCTATCCTTTAAATTCTACAACAAAAATAATTTGTTTATTAAGTACCTACTGTGTTCCAAGTTCTGTGCTAAGTTTTCTGGAAGTATAAATGACACTTACCATATATGTTGCCCTCATGAGCTTATGATATGGTTTAGAGTGGCAATTAGAATGTTTTCTCTACATTTCTGTGATTCTTTACATACTACTTGTTCTCATCTTGTGAGGAAGGAAGTTCAAGTAGCATTTCCCTTTTATAGATGGACACTAAAGTTCTTAGAAGGTCAATGACTTGACTTTAGTCACACCTTAGCAAATGTCTGAGCCTGGAATTTACGTAAAAGAGTCATCTAGCTGACGTTCTTAAGTTTCTGGTAAGGTAAAAGTAAAGGAAATCATTTCATATCTAAAGGAATAACTTAGGACTAAAAATTTCCCTCCATATAAGAAGTTAGGAAATTCTCAGAGACAGGAATTACTTTGCTCATTGTCATAGAGCTTTTTAATTCTCAGAGCCAGGATTCAAATCCAGCTTATCTGACACTTGATACTAGATTTACCATTCATAAAAAAAGAGTTATTAAGGTATGAATGTTCACACATGAACAATCACATCTAATTTACTTATTTGTAAGTTAATTTTTTTGCTGCCTTCAAACAATGAGATTTTAAGGTAATAAAGATAACTTCCTGCTTTTTATTTTAAGAATCCCCATAAAATAACTTTTCCTTCATGATTATTCTTAAAACTAGTGATTGCTCTATAAGTCTTTTGAAATTTTCTTCCTATTCTTAATTTTTACAAAGTAAAAGACAGAAATGAGATCAAATAAGGTTATTTGGATATTCTAACCTAGCATTAACACAAAACATTAATTTTTCACTATACCATTAAGAATTTTTTTATAAGTTGAAGTTAAAAATAGGGCTTCTATAACTTTTTGAGGTATAGACAATTTTTGTGTGTTCTTGATTTTCCAATATATTTTATGAGAAAGTCTTATGAATAAGGTGTCAAGGACCACAAATCATAGGATCATGGTTTTTGAGGTGGTTGGAACCTATTCTTGCCCCCCTCAATTTAAAAAGTAAATTTTCCTTTTCCTAAATTAACTCATGTGGAGGCTATTTTGCAGTTGAGGAAATGGTACAGGGAAGTGAACTGACTTAGCCAGAGTTAGTAAACTAATAATAGTCTTACAGATTTGAACCCAAATATTACTGACTCAGGAAGTCTAGTTTTCTGTTCTCTATACCCCACTGCCTCTGTTTTCCAACATTTTCTCCTACTTACATGACTATTGCTATAGTTGAACGACTAATTTATCAGTTGCCTTTTATGATTCTGAATAGAATTATTTGGTGTGATTTATAATTTGTACCATAACTCAGTTTATAAAACATTTTACACCATAGTTTCCTGTTACCCTTCCCTCATCTTTTTGAATTTAGTGTGTTATAGGTCCTTTTCTAAAATAGTTTCTTCTCTAGTGCCATGTACTACTTATACATCAGTTATTTGGGTAGTTGTGCTGTTATAGGTATGCTATCTCAAGATAAGGGAAGGTAGAAATTTTATTACCAACCAAATCAGCTATTTTTGTGTTTTTTAGGTTACTGATATTTCTTTCTTGCTTTAGCTATTGTAATACTTGTAGACCTGGTCCAGTAATGTTTTGAAAGCTGTGAAATCCCCAGATCTCAGTAAGGCCAGTATATAGTATAGTCAGTAAACATTTACCAACTGCCTTTTATGTGCCAGGCAGTGTTCTCAGTGATGGAGATAGAAGCAAAGGTAAAAGATACTCTCAAAGTGCTCAAAGTCTAAGGGGAAAGACAATGTGTAAACAGATATATAAAAATAAGCTATATATTGGATAAATTGGGAGGTCATGGATAGAGGGAATGTGCTAGCATTAAAGCAAAGACTCTAGAAGGGTGAGATTTTACCTGGGACTTCATACAAATCAAGGAAGCCAGGAGGTGAAGAGGAGGAGGGAGAGAATTCCATACATAACATGGATATTAGCCAGTAAAAATAGCCTGAGTGGAGAGATGGTTTTTTTTTTTTTAATTTCAATTTTTCAGTTTCAGTTTCATATTCTTTTCCTCTCCATCCCCTTCTCCACTTATTGTGAAGACAAAAAATATATGTACTCACACATGTATTATATATGTGTATCATATAAAACATTTCCCCATTAGCCATGTTGGATGGGGAAATTTTTTTTAAAATGATTAACTTTACACTGAGTTTTTGTACATTGAGATGGATAACATTTTATGTCCTTTTGGCCGAGGGGAGGTCGAGGCAGTTGGAGTTAAGTAACTTGCCCAGGGTCACACAGCTAGTAAGTGTTAAGTGTCTGAGGTTGGATTTGAACTCAGGTCCTCTTGACTCCAAGGCCGGAGCTGTATCCAGATTGATAACATTTCAGGTCATGAGGCCTTTGGAATTGTGCCATATCATTGATGATTTACTCAGACTTTCGTAGTTGATTTTCCTTACAATATTGCTGTTATTGTGTAGACTGTTCTGCTTTCTCTACTTTGTATCAATTCACATAGATCTTCACAGATTTTCTTGAAACTGTACTCCTCTTCATTTTTTGGGGGGGGGGGATGAGGCAATCGGAGTTAAGTGACTTGCCCAGGGTCACACAGCTGGTAAGTTTCAAGTGTCTTGAGGCCCAATTTAAACTCAGGTCCTCCTGACTCCAAGGCTGGAGCTCTATCTATCACACCACCTAGCTGCCTCCTCTCATCATTTCTTAGAGCTTACATGGAAGATTCTTTCTCTGGTCTTATTACATCTCTCCTTTCTTTCTTTCTTTCTTTTCTTTCCTTCCTTCCTTCCTTCCTTCCTT